GCTTAATAGCACGCTTTCTGTATTTTTCCTTTTGTAGGTTAATTCAGTAAGAACAGGATTGGGGAAAAAGTGTGTTCTTCCAGCGTCTTGCCCCATGCCCGCTGCGTTAACTCCTGGAGCTCCACCATCCCTGCCAGTGCCTATGCCAGGGCCCCGCTCTGGCACGGTGACACCTTATGTGATGCCTCTTTGTCAGTATGGTGGAGTTTTCCCTACGCCCGCTTACGGCGTGCAGTGGTTGGGGCCGGCAGCGCAGCCCGGCATGGCAGGAGGTCCCAGCGTTGCACAGTTCTCGCCCCTCGGCACAATGTGCTTGCAGATGTACCCAGGGCCGCTGCGGCCCCCCGCTGCCGAGCCGCTGGGCCCCCGCCTGCGGATGACGTAGCTCGGCTGCTTTGCCGCGGGTACCGATGGTCTCGGTGTCGGCACGCGGTGGGGTTGGTCTGTAGATGCCACCGGTGTTGGAGGGGAGGTGGGGGCGCAGGCCAGCCCCGCCAGCATACACAGCCATACACTGCATCCAGCAATCACTGTGAAAGGGTTTCACAAAAGACAAGTCCGTTTGTTCTGGCAATATTTGCTTCTATTTTATTGCTGCGGACACTTGATTCTGTTGTGTTCTGATGTTTTACATTTGGCGATCCTTAAAGTCGATGTACTTGAATTGATGACTAGAAAATTGTACTAACCCCTGCAGGAGTACAGTGCCTTGAATTTCAGCTTTTCAGTTCCAGCTGGAAAGAGATGTAAAATTATTTGAAAGGTGTATTTTATTTACAATCTGCTTGTGAGTTGAAGTTCTTTTTTATTTGCGAAGACCTTGAAGGTTTACAGTTGGCGTTCTTCATCGGTTTCATTCTGCTGTAAATGCTTTTACTTTAATTCATGGGTTGAATTATTGCATCTGAGGCTTTTTTAAAAACAAATAATAATAATAATTGCGAGGTGAGGTTTGTTTGAGTTGCCGATCAAAAAGTTGTTTGTGTTTGTACAAGGAGTAGTGAAATGCACATTTTAAAATAGGAGCATTTACAGAGCGATCCAAGTAAGTTGTATATAAGGACAGGTAATAGCTTTGGGCAGTGCAATTCATTCTCTTCCCCAGTCTTTGGTAAAGTTGTTGTAGACGGCAACTTATTTCTCTAACAGGCAGGCAAATACTGTTTTCTTCTGGATCAGCAGCAAATTGGGTAACGTTTTCTTTCCCCTGCTGGGCTTTTTTCATTTAGTTAAGTTACAAACTCATGCATGTTTCATAAGTGGAAAGAAAAAAAAAAAACCTAACTGAAACCTCAATTGTAGGAGAGCACGTCTCCAGGTTACCTGTAAGTACAGCACTTGCACGTGTTCTGGCTTCGGTTCGCCCACCAAGGTTAAGAATGGTGTTTTGCCACCGATGTTCTAGCAGTATTCCAGCTAAACCAGAATAAAAATGTGAAGCTGTTCTTTTTTGTATCTGTTTCACATCAGTTTTGGAGTCTCACCACTTTTTGTTGGGAATTTTTATTTTCTTTTCTTTTCTAAGTTGTAATTAAGTTTGCACTCTAGGTGGCATGGGCACCTCTCTCCTGTTCGAAAGTTGCTTTTTTGTCCATTTTACTGTGCGTAGAGTCTCCGCCTGCACCACCTCTCGGTCTAAAGGCACAAGACAACCACTAAAAATGATTTGCTGATGGTAAGTCTCTTTTCCCTGGAGGGCGCGAAGGGAGGGCTTTGCAGGCTCAGGTCCCGAACCCCGCGCTCACGCCTGAAGGCATGTTGCTCTGTATCTCTACTGCGATGACAATTTATACTGTCTGCTGAAGGGCAGAGATGTCTTGTGCTGCCAAGCTGTGAATTGTATAGTTCTATTGTACTTTGAGCGTTATATCTGTCTAAATTATTTTGTTTGTACCCTTTGAATATATTATTCCATCAATTCAGTTAGAATTGAATTTTATAGATGACTATGCAGAGTCTTCTGCCTGGGCAAAATACTTACTGTAGTAAGAGATTTCTGTTCTCTGTAACATGTATCTTTAATTTGTTCGGGTTTTTTAGATTCATGTCTGTATGCTTCATGAGCAAACATGGAAAATATGTTCTCACACCAGTTTTCCTTCGGCTTGCACTGAATCTTACAGTTTATGTCGCTATTGCCTGTTGTATAGACCATCCCTTGTATACTGACAAAGTCAGTGGCACTAAAAACCCTGAGAAATTGTATAGATTAAAAAGAAGAAAAATAAACATTTTGTGCTTGAAAATTGTGTGAAAAACCCGGTGTTTTTCTAAAACATAGAATTGTGTCCATTCCCAGCTGTTCCGGGTAACTCTACAGGTGGGGTTTTTTTCAGACTCTTACCCCTTGACTTGGGTAGAAGGAGCAGATGCGATGCCTCCGCTCATTCTCAGGTGCTGCCCGTTAACTGACACGTCCCCACCTCTGGGCAGCTGTAGAAGTGACACGGTGGTGCTCCAGAAGTGGCATAGTGCCACCTCACAGCTTATGTTGCTTGAAGTCCCCTGCCAGCTGTGGTATTTCTGGGGTTACGCTGCTGCAGCGCGGGGCAGGCTGGAACGTTACCTGTGTTTCTGTATGCTGATGGTACCTGCGGTGCTGCTGGTGGTACACAGGAGGACACTAGAGTTTGGGAGGTGATGAAAGAGGCAGGTGGACTCGCTCTCCTAGGGAAGCCCTTTTAACTTGTTCCTGGCATCATTTAAATGTGAGGAAGCGAAGATAAGCAATTCAGCCCTGGTGCAAGCAGCCTCTTGGCGGTGGCTGTCGTTGCTGTAGGCTGCAGGGGAAATTAGGGAAGGAGGTGCAGGAAGAGGTTGGATTCTTCTGCTGCTGTGTTCCTGTGCCTCTGAGCTCCATGGCTTTGCTGTCTTATGCTGCCTTGCGTTTCAAAGCTGGTGCCCCGGGATGTCCCCCCTGTCCCGGTCCGGCAGCTGCACCGTGCACCCTGGCGAGGGGCAGGGTGGGCAGCCTCTGCTCGCGGGGCTTCACTGCCGCATCCAAATCTCTGGTGGGTGCGTTCCTCACTGTTGCTTCTTTAGCTGGTACTGGGGGCCAAATAATGGCTCGGAGGTTGATGTTTGCATTTTGGTATTTGCGACTTTAGTTTTGTGATCAACATCTTGGCTGCAGTTCTTCTTACTATAAACCTCAAGCTACATTTTCTTACCCTCCATCCTCTCAAAGAGTGCTCTGACCCTCAGTGGCAATAAAGCAAATGACATGAGATGAAATAAACGGGACAACTTCTTTAGCAAAAGGTGAGCAAAGGAGTGAGAGGGAACTGAGGGGTCCAGGCTGTGCCATCGGAGGTGTGGGGGTCTGTACCCAAAAAGGCATTCCTCTGCAGATCCCAGAACTGAACTGATTTTATTCCTGAGACTGAATATCACTTTGATGTGCAGGAAACAGGGGACAAACCCCGCTGGGTAGAATTCCTCGCCTCGCCGGTTGGGGGCCAGCAGCCGTGTCCCCTCTCTCTGCCACCTCTCGGCGTTCCCAGCACCGCTCTGCAAAGACATGTGTGAATTCGGTACGGATCCTCTGCTTTAAATACGAGATTTTGACGGGGGAGTTTGCAGATCCCCCAATTTTCAATCTCTTAGAAGTTACAGAGGCTTAATACAAATGAAAGAATGTTTTAAACTGCCAAGTCACGCACCCAGTAGTTCGGAAATGCCAAATTAAGTTTGCCCGTATGCCATTAATTTGGCTTTCTGATTGCCGTACATCATGATGGAGTATCTAAATGTATAAGCACATCCCATCTTCCCACCACATCCCTGGCTTGCTTGGAGCGGTGCTGGGCGAGGAGGAGAGCTGCTGCCACCGGCGCCACATGTCTGCCACAGGGATGCAAAGCAGGGAGCCGGAAATGGCAGGGACAAACATTGGGATGGTTTAAGGCTCTTCTGCAAATCCTGATTCGACCCTCTCTGCCGCAGATTTAATTCAAAAGAATGATCTAAAATTGTCCCTTGCAGTTTCTTTGCCTGTATAACTCTGGTCTTCATTCCCCAACTTAAAAGAGGAAATATTACTTAGCTATTACTTTACACTGATCTCCAAAATGCTGCTTTTTTGCCATCTACTGTATAGCTTCTTTACTTTTCTCTGAAATATTTGACATTGGCTGGTATTGAATAGGCCACATGTGGTGATCTCTTTGCTCCTACAGAGATGTTTGTGTTTGGGCATAGGCCACACTCATGCCAAACGGCAGTATTTCTGAAATGACCTTCTTAATCAAGTTGCAGGTTTTGCCATTTGGTATTTGTGGAAGGAAATCACTAATACTTTTGAATCAGTCATTGATTAAACTTGGCTTTGTCACTCGTTGCTCTTTC